CCTGCAGCAGAACCAGCACCACCCGCTTCAGTAGGAAGTGACTATGCAGAGCCTGCAGCAGAACCAGCACAATCTTCAGCTTCAGAAGGGGTTAGCGCGGCAGCGTCATCAAGTTTAGCAACGGAAACGACCCCTCAGGGCTTTCCCGAAAGTGTTAGTCCCAATGGAGGAAGTGAAATGCTTTCTGAATCTGCACCTGCAACAGCTACCCAAGAAGAAGCAGGCATTGCCGAGAATCCACCTTCTTCTGGAGTTGAAGGTCAGTTAGTGTGCAAGTTGTAAGAAGTAGCCTAACAGTATTCCCATGCCAGGTAACACAGTCGAAACCGAGCCAAGCGGATACGCTGAACGCATGAAAAAATGCGAGTTATTTTCTTTATCATCACCATGAAGGAATTTCCAATACTTCTCATTTCAGTACGCAGAAAGCTCCTAAGAATGTTGAAAAAGAGAAAGAAGGTGTCACGAAAAAGTCGCTTTCGTAAAGTTAAGGTTAGGAAAGCAAGCAGAATCTGATATGTCACACAGTCTTCTATCATTAAAAAGAAATAAATAGTTATAAATGCTTTGTTTATAGGATATACACATCATATGTATATTTACATATATTGTAATCAGATCAAACATCACCCGTCCTCCCTTCGCCTTTCCTTCCCCCTCTCCTCCCACTACAATCCTCAAGCAATAGCACCTCAGCATGCTTAAGTCCTTCATGCTCTTCAAATGCCGGTCAAGTGCAAACTTCTTCTGCTTGTAAAGCTCCATAAATCCGGTTATAATATATAACATGAAAGATCTATTAGAAGTGTTAATGTCACAATGCCCTTCCTTCCCTAATATCACCTTAGGGCTCGCATAAGAAATTTGTGTATCACGCCACATGCTACGCAACAATAGCAGTTCATCGCAAATAATTTTTCTTGGCAAAGGAAGCAGTGAATTTTTAATTGAAAACGGGATCTAAAATTCCTTATATAATCCATGTTCAAAGTTGGTACGCGCTAGTTGGCGTTGTGGGCGTAAGATGGGGATAAAGCCAAAAATCCCAAAAAGATGAGATTTGAATGGATAAAAGTTCTTGTTCGTAATTTCTATATTCGGGGACAATTTCGAACGAGTTTTCGACCCTTCTTAAAGTAAGCTAACTGGTTTAAGTTGTAGAGACAATTAAAAGATTATTCGTTATTGAATTTAGCTTCCTGTTATCTGTTATCACTGCAGCAGTTGCACAACTGAGATCTCCACATCTCGTAAGGATAGGTGGGTCAAAGGTGCGGCACTGTAGCATTGCGGCGCCGCAATCAAATACCACTATGATCAGTTTTCAGACGCACCTTTCTGGCGCACTCGCTGCCTACTTCTGAAGACTTTTGCATGAAGAAAGACAGCAGGCGAGGGCGTTGAGAATAAAGCGCGACAATTCCGGGATAGAGCCAAATTATGTCAAATGTCGATTGGAGCGCCGCAATGCAACCCATCATTCTTATGAAGTATGAAGATACCCTAAGTGCGGTTTCAACTTAAATGATGCCTGTTGAGAAAAACCATCAGGTGGCGATTGGTAGCTGCTCACAAGAACCACTGTTAGCAACAAGGGGATGTCTTTTTTTGAAAAAAAGAACAACAGGTGACAGGTGCAAATGTCACCACTTAGAATACTTCTAGATTCTGGCGGAGAAAAAGAGACTATCAAAGAGGGTCAGATATTTGTTTCCTGCTTTGATTGTCATTTTTCAACGATACCTTAATCTCTATTGACACTTTTATGAGTTTTCATCACACACGGGATAGCACTATAGCTACTGGTTTCTTCAATGAACTCATACGAAATATATTAAAAAGTTTTCAAAAAAAACTTCAAAGCGATAAAATTTACTTACCTCAAAGAAGGAGACTGATAAGTCAATG